TTGGGGCTGGCAGCGGCCCGGGAGCGCTCGGTGAGATGGGGGCTGGGCGAGCGCGGGCGACCCGCTGCACTGTCACGCTTCCGGCTCTGCGGTGGCTTTTGTGTGACAAATTCTTGACCTGAAGCAGTTTTCTTTCTACTTACAATTTTTTTCACTTTGGTGAAGAACTGGATGTTAAATACGGTGAAAGTGTAAGGAAGCTTTCGGGAATAGAGTACATTCATTCATTCATACATTGAATAGGCGGGCATCGAATAGCTTCTCTAGGCAGAAAGTGAGCCGCGTATGCTGGCTCTCACAGAGCTGATTATCTGGAAGAGGCACACGAGCAAACGGTCCAATTCTAGGCAGTTGCAATAGCAGTTGTCGTTTTTTTCCTTTGCAAAACGCAATGTTGACCATCGTGGGAGTTGAATCCTTACAGAGAGGATTCAGAAAGTAGGCGAGGTGACATTCACCCATATAACAGTAATACAAGGTAGAGTGATACAAGTGCTCTGAGAAGGCTTGGGTGACCAAAGAGGTAAAGATTGTGTCTGGGGAGAGGTGGCGCAGTGGGTGATGTGACCCAGGAGCTGGACTGTTAAGGGTTGGTAACATTTGGATTTAGGAAAAGAGGGAAAGGCATCCTAGCTCACAGTAGTGGACAGACAGATCTCCACAAATGTGTGGAGAACGAATGAATTCCACACGTGAAAGTTTAAGGGAGGCATTAAGCGGTGGGACCTGTAGCTCAGTTTGGTTTGGAAGAAATGGATGGGAAATAGGGATACTTTCACCACCATGCCGGGGTGAGGGGAGCCACCGCAGGTTCTTCTTATAGGAAGTGATAATAAAAAGCACATGTAAAGGCGCCACCTCCCCTGCCCATAGTTTCCTTATAAAACTGAACACTGATGCAAACGATGAGGGGAATTTCCATGGAAGGAGGGATAAGGGGGCTTTGTGGCTCAGGTTTCCACACCCTCAAATTCTCTCTGCTTTGGGACAGCATCCATCATTGGTGGTTGTTTCTGTTGATGGCTCAACCTTCTGGAGTGGCTACTTTTGAGACATCTGATCCTCTGGTAGGCTTTCTTAATTTCCTTCCCTGATTTGGTCTCCCGTGGTGGTATGCGTGAAAGTTGGTGGACACTAGATCTTTCTAGATCTTTGTTTGAAGACTGTCTTGCCTAGGAAACTGTCCACTGTGGTCCCATTACATTGTTAGGCCAAGATGACTGAAGACTCAACACAGTAGCTACACAAGCTCATTTCCTTTTTTTCCCCTCCTTTCTTGCTGGGGGTCCATCCCAGGGCCCCTGTGTACATTTTACCACTGAGCCACACTCCCGGCCCATGAATTTTTGGGAAATGGAAGGCAGGGAGGCCTGGGTGCTCTCCTCTTCTTGGGCAGACCTTGCCTCTTCATTGGCAACCTTGAGAATATGGTTTTAGGAAAACCTAAAACCTGTCTGGCTGCTGACAGTGGACTGCATGGGGGAAACCCTGGAGGCTTAGAGCCCTTTGAAGCAGTTATTGCAAAAGCTGGTTCAGCAGGTCTGAGGGGACCCACGGTGGAGGGGAGGGAAGGGCTGGATGTGGATGATAAGGTGGGAGCGGTGCTGGAAGGAAGGACTTCATAAAGAATGTGAAGGGGTGATGGAGCAGAAGAGGAAAGGTACACAGAGGTTTTGGGTCAGACCCCACTCAGATCTGCATGTAGCCCTGTTAATCACTTAGGAGTGTCTGTCTAAAAGCTGGCAAGACAAAGTTGATTCATTCTAAACTTACATGACCTTGGGGCCAGGGATGTAGTAGCTCAGTGGTGTCGATTCCCAGTATGAGGTGGGGCGCGGGGACCATAAAGGACCTAACTCATCCCCCTTGAAGAATGAGGACACGCAGATATTTACAGGGACATTGAACTATCGAGGAATGCCAGGAAACCTCCAGTCATTTCCCTAAACCTAACGTAACCTTAGATTCCAACAGAACCTTCACAAAACTGACTTCCTCAAGCAGAAATAATCATTTCAGGACTGGAGATTTAGCTTAGTAGCGCCAGTGCCTGCCTGGCAAGCTCAAGGTCCCGAGTTCAATCAGTGGTTCAGAAAAAAAATTAAAAAAAAAAAATTCATGGAGAAGGGATTAAGTGATAAGGACTTTTTCAGAGCCATTTTGTAAAACCCGGCACTGAGATAATGATCATCCAGACCCTAGCCCATCTCTTCCCCCTTTTTTTTTTCCTCAGTCCCCTTTTAAAAAATAAAAAAACTGGCCTGTTCTTTTGTTAATGGGCCAATCAGATCCCCTATAAAAGCTGAGTCTCATTCAACTCAAGTCCCATTCTACTCCTTCTGGTTTTCTCTTACTTTGCTACTTGACCTAATAAATCTATCTGTGCCTCTCACTGATTATTCTGAAATGTTTTTTTGTGATGAGAATCAAAATGTGCTCCAGCTGTGTTGAGGTCCCCAACTCCTCATTTGAGGGGATGTCCTTGGGGACCCATCTGGTGACTTCTATGGAGCAGAAAAAAAGATTTGAGAAGAAAGAGGATTAGTTTTTTTGGATGTCTTGAATTTAAAGTGCTATTGTGCCTTTTGGACAGATGAAATCGGTGGGGAGTTAGGATGCTGGTATGTGCAAGAGACGTAGACCTGATGGTCACTTCAAGCCTTGAGGTTGACCAGATTAAGAAGACCAAGGACTGGTTCTTGGGGAAGACAAGTTTACTAGAGGGTAGGTGCAAGTAGAGCAGAAAGAAGTAGCTAACTAGATAGTTTGGAAGATTAGGTGTTGAGGAAGCCAAAGAAGAGAAACTAAAAGGTTAAGGTATTGGACTTGGTGACGGGCCAGTGGCACAACCCAGGAAAATAAAAAGTGTGGCAGCCAGATGCAGGGTCATGAGATTAAGGCAGAGACTTTGGCTATAGAGTACACTTTTCTTTCCTATCATTTACTTATTTATTTACTTAGCTGTACTGGGACTTGAACCCAGGAGCTTCCCACTGATCTATATCCTCAGCCCTTTTTTATTTTTTATTTTGTGACAAGGTCTTGCTAAACTGCTAAATTGCCCAGACAGGGCTTGAACTTGTGATCCTCCTGCCTCAGCCTCCCAGAGTACTGGGAGAATATGTGTGCACCACCAGCCCTAGTGAGAGTACTGTTCAAAGAAGTTAGAAGAAAAAGGAGGGAGGGAACCATTCATTTGGTTCGGCCAGGTCAGTACAAGATTTTCTCAGGAGTAAAAAGCATAAGCACATTTTAGATTAAAAGATGTTATTCAGTGGGGGAGAGAGAGAAATAGAAAATACAAAAACAAGTGAGATAACTCGTGGAACCCACATAAAGCTGGGTGATAAATAGAAGTTTGGCTCTAGAAAGGGTAGGAAGGAGGAACCACTATTTGCTTCCTTCCCGACCATCTACTTTGTGACTGCTGTTCATATTGCAAAACTAGCCTATTGGTGTCACTTCTGGGAAGCCCGTTAGAGCTCTGCACCTCTCTTTGTAGCACCACGGACCCTGTGCCGAGCCTCTGTTGTACACTTATACTGTATTGGAAGGTCATCATTTATATATTTAGTTTTGGTACCAGGGATCGAACTCAGGACCTTGCGCTTGCAGGCAGTAGAACCACTGAGCTAAATCCCTAGCCCTCATTGTTTATTTTTATTTATTTATTTTTAATTTAGTTTGGTGTTTTGAGACAGGATCTCCCTACATAGTCTGGGCTGGCTTTGAACTCTTTATGTGGCACAGGGTGGCCTCACACTCACCATCCTGCCTCAGCCTCCTGTTTGTTAGACCGAGCTCCTTATGAGCAGGGAGTTGTTGCTTGAATTAGAAATGTGGTAAAGAACAAAGATTCCCCCAGATGAGAACAAGTGAAAGGTATTGATTCAGAGATGGTTGTAGGAAGAGTCGGCCACCGTCACTGGCTGTGGCAGAGATTCAGAGGTGGGCAGGGGTGGGACGGCTTTCTGGAGTATACAGAAGAGGGCTTCGGGTGTGCCTAGACAGTGGAAGTTGGGGTGCACTTGTGTCCTGTGTTATGGATGAGGGGAGCTTGTGTTGCTTCTCTGCTTGGTCCTAAGCTGAAAGTGAGGGGAAAATTAAGTCCTGACCATTTTGGGCTGATTGCTACAGAGGCTGTGGTTTGTGTTCCCGGACCGATGCCTGAAGATTGTGGGTCAGAGTTCTGTTTTTATGCATGGCTTGGCCAATGTCTGTTTGTACATTCAGTCCTTCCCCAGCACTAACGTACATGAAGTTACACTTAATTCTTATGAAAGTTTTTTTTTTTTTGGCAAAGGGTAGTGGTGGTGGTGAGAGTCAGTCAGCCTGGGTGTGAGGAGAGGGTGAGAGGTGTAATTGGTAGAGCAGGAGGGCGTTAGTGGGAGGGGTGCCAGGCCCCAGGGGAATCCAAAGGTTAGGAAAGGCAAGGAGGGGCCGAACCAGTCAATCTTGTTTCTTTACTTTCTCTGGCTTTGCTCTGAGTCTGGGCTAGGCTTTGGGACTTGTTGGCTCAGGCCTGGTTAGGGTTCAGGGAGGACAGAGGGAGGACTGACAGAGGTCCTGAGAACATGACAGATAGAGGTGGAGGGAGTTGGGGACTTGTTCCTGCTGTGTAAATGGCCCTGACTCCGTTCATCCTAAACTTCGTAGGCTTGGCCTTTATTCCATCTTCATGAATCACAGCGGCAGATCCCTTCAGAGTGGGGAGAGGAAGAAAGGAGAAATGGACAGTGGATGATTTTGGAGTTGCTTAAAGTAAGGGAACAAGGTTAGAATCCATGCAGCTCTCCATCCATCCTGTCTTCTGCCTGCAGGGACTTGGCCCCAGCACATCCTCATCTTTCTGCTAAGTCGCAAACTGAGCCCTGTGGTGTCCGCTGCTCTAGGGAGCAGGCCTCAGCACTGCGGAGGAGAGGGGGATTAAAAAAGAGTGCACTTCCCTGAGTGCACAGAATCATCAGGAATGAGACAGCATTTGAGAAGAGCCAGTGGCTGTGAAGTGGGTGGCAGCCCTATAGCAACCTTCGGGTAGGACGCAAATGAATGGCTGCTTATCTCAAGGCTTAGCACTGAGCTTGGGTGCTCTGTGTGGGCTGATTTCTGGTCTGGAGGCCTGGAGTGAGGCCCATTGCCGGTTGATCTTGGTCAAACAGTATGGTAGATGGAAAAGGGCAAAAGGAAGCTGTGGGCCCTGGAAGACCCTGTACAGAAGGAGCGGTTAGGGGTTCTGAGGGGGCCTGGCGGGATCCGGGGAAATAGATGATGGCTTGAATTCCAAGCAAGGGGCAGGGGCCATTGAACAGAGACTGTTTTCCTTTCTCTGTCTGTCTCTGTCTCTTTCTCTCTGTCTCTGTGCCCCCACCCCGTGTGTGTGTGTGTGTGTGTGTGTGTGTGTGTGAGAGAGAGAGATTTTGGAGAGGAGAGAATATGAAATTTCTTAGGTCCCTTCTATTTCCAGAATTTGATGTAGTGTCTTAAAAGCAATGTAATGTTACCTGGCGTTGCTAATGATGGGAATGCTTTTTCTTCCTGAGTTTTGGGCCCTTTTGGCTTTTCCTGCAGGTTATTTAATCTGTTTCCAAATAAGCTTGAGGGACAGGAACTCAGGCAGGTTGTACAGTGGCTAATTTGGTCCCACTGTGAATGCCTGGGGATTCGGTTAGAGTGGATTTGAATTCAAGTGCTGCATCATGTTTTCAAAGGCACTCGTTCCCTTGACTGTGAACTGCATCTCCTCGTCTTTTGCTGAAAGTCCATCAGCTCTTCTCTCAGAAGTGCATTTTAAGTAGTTGCTCCTGTTGAAGTGGAGTGAGAATAGCTTGTGGGGCTAGCAGCCCCATCCCACCCTGAGTTAAAGAGTTTTCTCGGTTGCTGTGGGGATGAGAAGGAGGTGAACAAGACTGAAAAGGGCGGAGCTGAGCTTTCACCTTTTGAGTCAGATATTTCCCGGAAGGCTGGAAGGATGCGAGGAAGGCAGGGATTGGTTATGTAAACTCAGATGTACCAGTTAGAGGGACTCACGTGGCATCCGGTGATAGCAGCTGACACAGGCAAGGCTTGTAGAAAGGAGGATCAGACATACTTGGGGAACTGGCCAAAGGTCAGTTATGGTTAACGAGTAAGTTTCTGAAAACAGTTAAGGGATGAGTAGCTCTGGGGAAGGAATGTGGATTAGAGCAGGGTCCCTGGCTGCTGTGTTATCTCACTAGGAGCCCTGTGGCTTCACAGATGAGTTAGATCTCTGCAGCAGCCCCGCAGCACCATCTGACATGCTCCTTTAGTCACGTAGGCCTCAGTGCAGTTTCGGGTACACTATAGCCAAATATGCTGCATATTATAGCCTGCTCTTCGGTTATAGTGGTCTGTCACGCACCTCCAGCCAGCTTTCCTTTTTGGTTTCAGGGATCAAACTGAGGACTTTGAGCTTGTGAGGCAGGCATGGTGTCACTGAGTTAAATCCCCAGCCCTCCAGCCAGCTTTAAGTTATATTTTGAGACAGGGTTTCAACAAGTTGCTCAGGCCACACTTGAGCTTGCAATCCTCCTGCCTCAGCCTGCCAGAGTGCTGGGAGTACAGGCATGTGCTACCTTACCTGGCTAACATTTCTATTTCTGACAGCATGATCTCTATCCCATGGATAAAACTGGAGCACCTGCAGTTTAACTTGCCTAAGATTGCATAACTTGGGAGGAAGAGAGAAGACTTCTACCCTAGTCAAAACACCAAAACTTGTCTCACCTTTTCACTGTTGGATGTGGCTTTGGCTTGGCTGGCTTGGTTACTGCAAAGTGGAGAAAAGAAGGGACTCTTGGTGGCAGCCCTAGCTGGGGGATACAGTGACAAAATGTATTGGGATTTTCCTCCATCTAGATTTGGAAATCTCTGCCTCTTCTGTTTCTCTGCTGGTAACCCTCCCTAGGGCCATCACCTCTGCAATCCCTCAGTTACTGTGTTACAGCTGCCTCTTCCCTGGGACATTGAGGCTGCTGACAACAGAGCTAAAGTCATCCTTAACTTGGATGTGCGGTATCTCCTGGACACAGCTCCCTGACACAGGCGCAGGCACAAGGACCCTGCTGTTGGCCTGGAGAATTCCCTTCCCTTGGGTTACTCTCTCTGCCACATTGGTCCCGTAGCTATGCAGCATGTCAGTCTAGACTCGATTCTCACTGTTACCTTCTCTTCCTCCCAGGATATCAGCCCACATCCTTGAGGCTGAGCTGGACTTGCCGTGCTGCCCATGGTCCAGATGGGCACTTCTTAGACATGCAGGGCCTCAGGCCCACCCTATCAACTGAATCAGAGACTCTGAATTCTGTGTCATAGCAAGGTCTCCTGGAAGGGTGACCAGCTGTCTTGGCTTGCCTGAATTGAAGAGTTTCCTGGGATGAGCCAGTCATTCTGCCTCTAGGTAGATGCTTAACTGAGTGAGAGGCTGTTGTACAAGGGGCCCGATGTATGATCAGAAGCTGTTCGTGCATCTGGCCATGGATGGGTTGTACTTGCTTCTTTCTTTAGGGTCAGGTTTTGTGTCAAGGTGGCCATTGGTTTCCCTGAAGCACTAGAAATCAGATGGCTGCTCTGTGAGCTTTGAGCTCATCACACTTAAATATTAAGCTTCAACTAAGGCCCTTGCCCCGTCCACTCTTTCTTCCACATTGCCTGAGGAAGACTTTGGTTCCCTGTCTTTTTAGCTGGTTTTGGGGACAGGCATTTATGGAGTCTAATTTTACCGTATTCTAGGTACTATTGTTGAGGTTCTGACTATGCTAAAAAAAATTTTTTTTTTTTTCCCCAGCCCTGAGGATTAAACCGAGGGCCTTTGGATCGGGCCATTCCTCAACCCTTTTTAAAATTTAATTTAATTAAAAAATGTTTTTGAGACAAGGTCTTGCTAAGTTGCCAGGCTGGCTTTAAACTTGAGATCCTATGCCTCAGCCTCTCAGAAGGCTGGGATTACATACGGGCAAGCACTGCCATGCCCGGCTTAAATTATCCTTGATGGGTCATTGAAACAAGGGTTTAAGGATGAAGTGTCCGGACATCAGGGGAAAAGGACCTCAGGGGCCATGTCAACCTTGCTACTAAAAATGTGGTCCACACAGGAGCTTGGTGGAGAGGCAGAGCAAGGGGCCTCGTTCCAGACCTCCCAAGTCAGAGCCTGTATGTGACAAGGTTAGACTCTCAGGAGATTTGAATGTACTTTGGGATTATTGTTATTTATTTTTGTACTGGGAATCGAACTCAGGGCCTCAGGCTTGCCAGGCAGTCGCTGTACTGTGGAGCTACATCCCTGGCCCACACTTTGGGATTTGAGAAGCCCCAAAGCCTGGATGGATGAAAAAACCGAGACCCAGAACAGCTAAGTAAGTGGTTTGTTCAAGGCCATACAGCAAATAAGACTCAGCTAGATTTAGGATCACATTCTGACTTTCAAGTCCAGTGCTTTCCCCTGTACATCGTGGCTGCTTCCTACAAGGCCATAGGTTATTTGTCTGGGTCTATTTATTGAAGAAACTTGACCTTAATTCAATTTCTTTTAAAACATTTTATATTGTATTCTTTATTGATTCAGACTGAACTTAATTTGTATGAGTGAATCATACCCCTTTGTGTCTTAATTTTTATATGTTTATTAGGTTTATTCAACAGTTACATGAAGTAGTCGTTTTTTATCTGCTGTAAGATTCTGTATCATTATGAAGACAAGTATTCCATATAAGAAAAAAGCCAGGCTCAGTGGTGCTTGCCTTCATTCCAGCTACTCAGGGGGCTGAGGCAGGAGGATTAAAAGTTTGAGGCCAGCCTGGGCAATTGAGCAACGACAACTCTCAAAAATTTGTCAACAGATGCATTGAGAGGCTGAGGCAGGAGCATCACTGTGAGTTCAAGGCCAGCCTCAGCTACATAGACTCTGTCTCAGAAAAACCCGAAACAAACAAACAAACAAACAAAAACCCAAAACCAAAAGCTAAAAACCAAACCAAAGCAACAAAACCAAACCAAACAAAATAAAACAAAAGATGAATGGATGAGCAAGTTGTGCATTCACATGTTGTGTATCTTGATTGAGGCAGTTGTTTCATAGTTGTATATATTTGTCAAAACTCATTGAATGGTACACTTAAACCTGGGAGCTTCTTATTGTAGGTGTATTGCCTCAATAAAGTTGATCTTAAAATGTAATTTGGTATATCGTTTTTCATTGTTCTGATAAAAGAGACATAAAACTGTCATTTTACCATTTGAAGTGTATCGTGGAGATGTGTGAACTGCATCGGTGTGGTTGTGCAACTGTCACCATCATTGCGCTCCACAACTTTTTCATCATCCCAGACTTAATCTCTGTATCCAATATTTAACCAAAGTGGTTTTTATTTATTTTTTTCAGTACCTGGGATTGAAACCAAGGGCTCTGTTCTACTGAGCTGTACTCCCAGCCCTCTTTATTTTTTATTTTGAGAAAAAACATTTGGGTCTTGCTGAGTTGCTCAGTTTGTCCTTCAACCTGATGGTCCTCCTCCTGCAGCCTCCCAAGTAGCTGAAACTACAGGTGTAGTTTCACCTGTGCAGAGTGACAAAGGTTTTTAATAGGATTGCATTCTATCTTCATTAATGCTGCAGAAAATGTTTTATCATTATGTGATTGCTCATTGCTGGAGTTTTGTGTTTAGTTTGTTTTCAGTTGCTGTTACAAAATATTCAAGTGTGGGAACTTCATAAAGAAAAGAGGTTTATTTAGCTCATAGTTTTGGAGGCTGAAAGTCTAAGATGGAGTGGTTTCAATAGTCTGTCCTCTAGTGAGGGCCTAGTGGCGGGTGGCATGACGAGGCGAGCACTGTGAGAGGGGATGGCAGAGACAGGAAACCACAGAGCCCTGTTTGGCCTGTTTTGCTCTTTTATAATTCCTCTCTCTGTGGGAACCAACTGGATCTCATGAGAACTACTTACTCCCTTCCAAAGGTGGTGCTCAGAATGATCCCCTTACCTCGTAGTAGGTCCCATCACTCTTTTTCTCTCTCTCTCTCTCTTTTTTCTTTTTTCCTTGTGTCAGGGGTCTTTTTTTTTTTTTTTGCTAGTGGGGATTGAACTCAGGACCTTGCGCTTGCGAGGCAGGTGGCGGCACCATGAGCTAAATCTCTGGCCAACGGGGTCTTGCTGTATAGTTTGCATTGGCCTTGAACTCGTGATCTTCCTGCCTGAGACTCCAGAGAGCTGTGATCACGGGTGTGTGTTACCATGCCCAGCCATCTACACCGAGGAGCCGGCTTCATATGCACCAGCCTTTGACGGATGAACACAAACCATATCCAAACCTTGGCAGCTGGGATTCATTCTTTAAAAAGTGTCTTCAGGATTTCAGTTGCATCATGTGATTACGAGTTGACAGTCTTGACCTCATTTTATTTAATGTTTTCACCACACTTTTATTCATATCAGATAAGCACCGCGCCAGTAAAATGGGGCAAAGAGGGACGTCTCACACAGTGGGGTAAAAAACCTATTCATCACACTTAGGAACCACTAGCGGGTCCTGCCTTTTAGAATGTGCTAAGCAGAGCATGGAGATGCATGCCTGTAACCCCAGCACTCTGGAAGGCTGGGGCAGGAGGGTGCACTTTGGAGCCAACCCTGCACAATTTAGGAAGACCCCATCTCAAAATAAAAAATAAAAGCATGACTGGGGATGTAACTCCATGGATTCAATAATTGTACCAAAAATTTTAAAAAGTATTAACATGGTTAACTATATTTACCTCATACAATGGCTATGGTGGTGTGAAGGCTCATCCTTACTTCCGGTCTGCTTGAATACCCCTCATCTGGAGACTTTCTGTTCATATTAGCAGACGCTGTCAGGGAGGGGCTCTGGGCATCCAACTACTTGTAGTTGTGGTCAACCAGGCTGGGAGCGCAGCTCAGAGAGAACACATGCTTAGTGTTCAGGGGGCCTTGGGTTCGATCCCCAGCACTACCCAAAAGACAACTGCTGCCCCCAGCTGCCTTTTTTTCCTTCTTTTCTAAAATTTTGAACACATCAATCTCAAATTTTCTCCAGTAATAAGTTGTTTTGTTTTTGTACCTAGTATTAAACATCTCAATTTTGATATCATCTTTTATCCCGACTGTTCTGCAGTTTGCAAGTAGTTTTTTCTCTTCGCCTGCTTCCCTTCCCTCTCTCCCTCTCTCCCTCTCTTTCTTCCTATCTTCCTTCATCCCTTCCTCTCCCCTTTCCTTTCTTTTCTTCTGAGACAGAGTCTCACTAAGTACTCCAGCTGGCCTTAAACTCATTATGTAGCCCAGCTGACTGGCCTCGGAATCATGATCCTCCTGCCTCAGCCTCCTGAGTGATGAGCCTACAGGCATGAGTCACCATGCCTTGCTGTCAGGAAGTAGATTTCTTTTCAAGATACTAGACTTCTGTTTTGGTTTGTAGCTGGATTACATTATTACATGGTGGACAGATAATACGGCCTCTACAGTTTTTACTGTTTTAAAGTTTGTTGCATTTTTTGGTCTCCAAACTAGAAGTGTGGTTGAGTATTCAGAAATCTCTAGTCTTGGTTGGTTTCAGGCCTGGAGCAGCCAGAGGGTGAGGTCCTGTTGTCCTGGTAGTCATGGGCCAAGCCTCCAATGAAATGGAAAAAACATCCCTTTATTAGGCCAGTCCTGAAATCGCTCATAGCCAGCGCAAAACACAATAGCCCACATAGCCTTGGGTGGAAATTCCTGTTTGATCTTGGGCCAGATGTCACCATCTGGTAAATCTGGATGTTTTAGACGTTTCACTCTCAAATATTTCTGTTATTTGTCTAAATAATTGGGGTCTGGTCATCTTGCTGGGACTTGACCGTTATCTCCGTGACAATCATTTTTTTTTCCCCAAAGGGAAAGGGAGTAGAGGAACAGGCAGGTATGTTTCTCCCCCTCCACTTGCTTTTTGAGTTGTAGCAAGTGGGATCTGTGGATAAATACAATCCCCTTACTGCTCCGAAAGAACGTTGGCAAACGTCAGTCTCTGTCTCCAAGTGGCTCGTGGATAACTCCGAACTGTGAATGAGAAATGACCTGATCGACGCAGGAATGCACAGAAGTTAGAGGTGCACAGAATGGAGGAAAGGGAGCCAGGTGTGGCAGTGCACACCTATGATCCCAGCGCTCTGGGCTGAGGCAGGGGACTCTTAAATTCAAACCCAGCCTTGGGCAAGTTAGCGAGTTAGTAAAACCCTGTCTCAAAGTACATTAAAAAAAAAAAAAAAAAACCAAAGTACATGTTACAATTTGTTTATGTTTGCAGTACATGATAATCACATTTAACACATTTTAGTTCTTCTTACTTCCCCTCCTCCCCTGTACCCCTCCCTCCATCTCTACTTCCTTTTCCCCTTTGCAAAAGATCTATCTCCAAATAAATTTCCATGGCTCAGTGAGAAGGCCCAGCTGTGGGGATTGGGAGGGCATGGAGGAGAGGGGAAGACTGCAGAGAGAGTGAGACATTCAGGCCGGCTCTTGGAATAGGAGCTGGTGCCTGCCAGGTAGGGAAGGAGGCGCAAGAGTTAGTTCTGGGAGAGGCAAGCAGGGTGGCCATGGCAGGAAGGCCTCAGTAGATGTCTGGAAGCAGAGTGCTGAGGAGGGAGGGTAGCATGTGGTGGGGGCTTGGGAACTGTGAGGGTGGCAGAGTTGGTTGGGAGTCAGGCTGTTGAGAGGAATCTGTTGAACATTTGTGTTTTGTTTCGAGACAAGATCTTCCTATGCAGTTCAGGCTGTCCTTGAACTCACCTTGTACTCTAGGTTGTGCTCTAGGTTGGCCTTGAACTCCTGGTGATCTCCTGCCTCAGTTTCCCAAGTGCTGGGATTATAGGTGTGCACCATCATGCCCAGTGCTCCATTGAATGGTTTTTGGGTTTTTTTGAGACAAGGCCTTGCCATGTAGCCCGGGCTGGACTTGAACTTGTGGCCATCCTCCTGCCTCAGCCTCCCAAGTGCTGGGATTACAGGTGTGCACCACCTAGCTGGCTCTGTTGAAGGTTCTTAAGGATGAGATTAGATCTGTCCTGTTTTATTTTGGTATTTAAATTTTTGTTTTCCTTTATAAATGTCCACTAACTAAATGCATCTCACTTTGGACTTCCCTTTTTCTGAAATCTACAGCTTCTGATTCGGGTTTAGATATCTGTGCCACTTGCCACGAACGTGCCACATGCCAGCAGAGAGATGGCAGGAAGATCTGTATGTGCAACTATGGCTTCGTGGGCAATGGGAGAACCCGGTGTGTTGGTGAGTCGCGACCGTGGGTGAAGCTGGACCAAGAATCAGGATTCTCTAGTGTTCAAGAGTCCATGTCCTGGGGGCTGCGGAGGAACAGTGTTATTTTGTTCCCATGTTTTTTATTATGGAAAGCTTCATCAGTTATAATAAGTCTTTGTTTTAGTATTTGCATGGATCCTTTTTCTAGCATTTCTAAGAAAATCTCTCTCATGTCAGAGGTCGTGGAACTTGAATCTCTGGAAACTGCTCTCACACAAATTTGAAATCTGGTTTAAATCTTGAGTTTAACTTAGCAACTCGAGTGATTATTGTATTTCTTAATTTCTTTGGTTATTTTGATATAAAGCTATTAATATTAATATCATGGAGGAAAGCAGGACTTTTTTTTTTGAGACTGCATCTCATTATGTTTTTTTTTGTTTTTTGGTACTGGAGATCAAACTGCGGTCCTTGCTTGCACTTGCGACAGATGGGTGGCACCACTGAGCTAAATCCCCAGCCCTTGCATCTCATTATGTAGGCCCAGCTGGCCTCAGACTCATGCTCCTCCTCCTGCCTCAGCCTAAGTGCTGGGATCACAGGCAAGCACCACCATGCCCAGCCCTATTTAACTTTTTGGCTATTTGACAGAATATTTACCTTGGTTCGGATCTCGAATCTACCTGAATCCACACCCTGAATATTTTGTAGTTGTAAGCCTTTGGAAACTTAAAGGAATATAAAGATTTTTAGGCTACAAGTGTTTGAAATTATTTTTTCTTCATGACCTCCATGCCATGACAGTCAGATAATATCCAGATTAAAGCTTATTCAGAGAGACAGAGAGAATTTCATTGTAACACAGAGAATAACTGTAAATGTTACAATAATCTCCCAGTTTCCTCCCAGCAACCTTGTTCCATGCAATAAAAACAATGACAGTATTTTCTTGCCTTTATAAGTAGACAATGTATACAGCCTTGCTGTGATATCAGTATGTGGCTTTCTTTCCTCTCTAAAGCAAAATAAAAAAATTCAGTACTGCATTCAAAAAAATCATATTCCAGAAGCTGGATATGGTGGTGTGCACCTGTGATCTCAGCCAGTCGGGAGGCTGATGCAGGATCATTTGAGCCCAGGAGTTGGAGGCTCCAGACCCAGGCTTTCAGCCACCCACCAGAGCCCAACCCAGAGGCTGGGGTTGCACCTTTGACCCTTACTGTTCAGGGTTCTACCCCAGAGTGTGACTGCTCTGCCCTCTGAGGTGCCTGAGGGAGCCCCCCATCTCATCCCTTGTTACCAGGCCTGGATTGGACTCTGGGAGCATAGGTGACCTTTCCTGCCCCTTCCCCCAATGAATTTCTGTGCTCATGGAGGGTAGCTGCCCTCTTGGTTGCTCTAGGACTTTTAAATAATAGGGGCTTCGTTAATGATGTGGTTCTCCCTCTCACACTGCACACAGTGCTCGGCAGGCCTCCAGGGAGCTGCAGGGTACAGCTGTGTGTGCCAGAGGTGCTGTAACATGGTACTAAGCCATGGGACTTGAGGATTCCAGAATCCCCAACAAACCCAAACATCCTTTCCTGTGAAGTCAACAGGAAGACACATCTCAGAAGCAACAGCAAAGGACAGGAGTATTCCTTCTTGTGCAGGGATATTCTGTCTGAAAGCACCGTGGTGTGATCTGTCCTATGGGCTATGTACCTGACCTTCCATGACTGGAGAGTTCTGCTTCTCTAAGCTCTCAGGCACATTACTGCAGACTGAATTGTGTTCTCCATTCAGTTAAAAAAAAAATTTCTTTTTGGTGGTACTGAGGATTGAACTCAGGACCTTGCACTTGTAAGGTGGGCATAGTGCCACTGAGCTAAATCTCTGGCCCCATTCAGTTCAGTTTTGTTTGTTTGTTTTGTTTTTTGAGACAGGGTCTCACTATGTAGTTCAGACTGCCCTGGAACTCACTGTGTAGCCCAGGTTGGTCTCGAACTCACAGCGATCCTTCTGCCTCATCCTCCTGAGTGCTGGGATTACAGGCATGCGCCACCACGCCAGGCGTCAGTTCACTTTTTAAGAGTTGATAGATATTTAAAAAAGGAAAATAAAAGCTCCTTGAGTTTTTTTGGGAGGGCATTTTTGAACTAGCAAGAATTGAGTACAATTGTGAGAGATATTAAAGTGGTATGAGGGAACCAGTAGTGAAATAAAACACTAAGTGACAAGTCCCTCTTCCCTGAACAAACTAAATTCACAAGTTGATGATTCTTACCTCACAGTGACAAGGAAAGAAAACCTAGCTTAAAAGGAAATAAAACAACTGGTGTGGTGCACACCTGTAATCCGAGCACTCAGAGGCCGAGGCAGGAGGATTACCACAAGTTCGAAGCCAGCCTGGACTGCATAGTGAGACCCTGTCTCCAAAGCTAAACAAAACTAAGCAAAACTAAATAAAAGGAAGCAAAAGAAATTGGTCGTAGGAGTTTGTGTTGAGGTTAGAGGCTAGGGCAGAGTTGCTGAATCATGGCCCTCGAGCCACCTCTGACCCTCTGCCTGTCTTCTGTAAGCAGAGTTGTATTGGAACTTCACATTGCTCCGAAGCTTCCGTTTTTATAGCTGCTTCAGCGCTGAACAAGCAGGGGTCCTAGTTGCAACCGAGATGGGGAGAAAACGTTTGCTGACCCCTGAGCTAGAGGATAGAGAAGGAAGGGAGGTTTCCTGTCATTTTACCATTTCACTTTTGCATGGTTTAATTAAAGACACTCAGGGCCTGCTTGTGCGGATTCACGGAGCTTCTGTGTCCAGCTCCGCTCCACTGGGTCCTGGACACCACGCACGTGGGCCCTGACACTGCACCTCAGCTGTTTCTGCCACTGTGCTAGCCCTGCTCCCAGGGAGGCCTGGTGCTCCCTCCGTCCTATCTCCTGGGAGATCAGAAGGGACGCATTTCCCAGCCTGATCACTGGATAGAAAATCCTCCTCTGGCTTTCATTAACAATCCAGAGGATGGTGAAGCTGGAAAAAGGGGATTCAGCTGCCTTTGTTTCCCTAGGCCTCTGTTGTAAGTTTTAATTTAAAATTATCATTATTATTACTAGTACTATTTGGTGCTGAGGTTTGAACTCAGGGCCTTGTCCATGCTGTGCTCATGTTCTAGCACTGATCTCCATGGGGTTCGAACTCAGGACCTTGTGCTTGCAAGGCAGGCAGCAGAACCACTGAGCTAAATCCCCCATCCTAGGTGTTACTATTATTAAAATGTGGGAGAGTTCACAATTTCTGGCTCCCAATCTTCAATAGGATGGGTGGCAAGATTAGGATGTGATTTTTCTCTTGTGGTTTGAGCACAACTGATGCATAAATATGAGGGTCCTGTAGTCTGGGAATCATAGTGAAAGAAAAAGAGGCTGGGAAAATAGATCAGTAAGCTTTTGGCACAGACTTCCTGTCCCAGGGTCCTCAGCACTAGAGAACAATCTGGATTGTTGAACACAGTATGGCTGGGTAACCCTTTCTGTGTGTGGTTTCCATGCATCAACAGATAAAAACGAGTGCCAGTTTGGAGCCACGGTGGTCTGCGGGAACCACACCTCCTGCCACAACACCCTTGGAGGCTTCTACTGTGTCTGCCTTGAAGGCTATCGAGCTACAAACAACAACAAGACATTCATCCCCAATGATGGCACCTTCTGCACAGGTACCCGAAAGGGTTTGGTAGCCTTGGCTGCTTGGGGATGGCCGGACAGTATCTGGGCTGTGGAGGTGGAAACGGCATGGCTGTCACAGGGTCTGACCCAGGGAGAGACTCTCCTTCAACAGTAACTTCATGCCTGTAATTCTAGCTCTCTGGAGCTAAGGCAGGGGCATCACAAATTTGAGTCCAGCCTAGGCAGCTTAGTTACTTAGCAAGACTCTGTTTCAAAGTAAAAAGGACTGGGGATGCAGCTAAGTGCAAAGGCCCTCAGTTCAATCCCTAGTACTATAAAAACAAAATAAAAACTATGAAGGATATTTGGACACAAACTTAGTCAGTGATAGGGAATAAAGATTAATTTCGTTAGGTGGAATTATTGTGGTATATAGGATAATAATCTTTTGGGAGATGCATGCTGGCGTATCTAGGGGTGTTATGAATAATCTAGTATTGTAGTATCTGGAGGATACTTTAAATGGCAAAATGTGAACACACGTTTGATGGTGGGGTGGGGATGGTGTATGGGAGGGGTGGTAGTGTTTTTCTGATTCTGTTTGATGAATAGGGAGGGGGATCTTCAGAGACAGACGCCAGCTGCAAGTTCCTATAACCTACCGCCTCTTGGGTGTTTTGAGACCACAGTAGGTGGTAGGTCATATTTCTGGAATGGAAAGGGGGCAGGCAGACCACTCTCATTTTCAGTGGTTCTTCTATTATGTGGGCTATATTTACATAATCTTTGGCTTTTTTTTTTTTTTTTTTTTTTGGTATTGAAGATTGAACCCAGGGTGTTGACAGAGAGTATGTTCTCAGCTCCTTTTATTTATTTATTTATTTTTTAAATTTTGAGACAGAGTCTTGCTAAGTTGCCCAGGCTAGGTTCAAACTTTAGACCCTCCTGACTCGGCCTCCCCAAGTGCTGGGATTTCAGGTGTGGTAAGGCCTGGCAGCTCTTAAACTTCTCAGAAAATATTTGCAAACTGTCATGAAGAGGAAAGGCAGGAAAATACTTCTAGCTCTAAGATGGTCTGTATAGACTTCATGACTGCTTAAAAGCTTTGAGGCAGCTGGGCATGGTGGCGCATGCCTGTGAACCCAGCTCTTGGGAGGCTGAGGCAGGAGGATCGTTGTGAGTTCGAGACCAGCCTGGGCTACACAGTGAGTTCCAGGTCAGTCTCAATTACATAGTGAGACCCTGTCTCATAAAACCAAAAAAAAAAGAAAAAAGCTTTGAGGCAGGAGGAGCACAAGGCAGGGGGAGCACAAGTTCAACTCCAGCCTGGGCAACTTAATGAGAACCTATCACAAAAAAAAAAAAAAAAAAAAAAGGTTTCAGATGTAGCTCAGAGCAAAGGTCCTGAGTTCAGTTCTTAGTAACACACACATGAGAAGCTTTGTGATATTTAAAGGTTTTCTGGGAGAAGATTACTGCCAGGAGCACATGTTCTGATGCTGTGTTTCATTCTCCCTCTTGACCTGCACCAGGGTGAAATTCCTCGGGATACAGTTGATTCATTTTAAGCATGAATGGATAGCACTCTTAGGAAAAATATTTGATGCTATCTTGTTTCAGGTCGCAAACTCATGGCCATGTGGTTGAAGACGTGCACTAAGTTAAATTAAAGTATGTTAAAGAGATATGAATTTTAAAAAAATCTGCAAGATGATAATCTAGTGGCCAGCTTATTCAGTACATATTTCTCCAGCACTTTTTTTTTTTCCAGTACCGGTGATTGAACTCAGGACCTTGTGCTTGTAGGGCAGGCATGGTGCCCCTGAGCTAAATCCTGGCCCTCTTACGCACTTCTTACTGGCCAAGTCTGTGCTAGTGGAGGTGATGGGCAGGCAGTTATGCTAGTGGTCCTAGGTGTCAACCACAGGAGAGCAAAGGTGTGCATTGTCATACCTGAAACTGTTCTCGAGGCTGTGGGAGTTTGACCGGAAAACCTTTGATAGCTGTACATTTATCAGTACAGTTCTAAGGCATGAAGTCAGCTTTTAAAAGTTAGGAGAAAAGAAGGAGGAAGAAGGAGGGGAGATTGGGGAAAAGAAAATATCTGCAAGGTCCAAATAGGTGTCAGCCAAACAAGAGCCAATCTTCCTGGAACAGAAAGTCCTGATCTAGGCCCGACTGCTATTTATCCTACTTCTTGGTAGTGATTGTCTCCTTTACAAAGACTGAGACGTCAATCACATTCCACAAATCCCCTGACCCCTTGTAGTGTTCATTTCCATGGTTTTTAGGGTACTCTTTTGTGCTACTGTTACTACTATCTCATTTTAGAATATTTCTATTACCCCAAATTAAGTCCCTGTGTCCATTTAGCATCATTCCCATGGCCTTGCCCTCTGTGGTCTCCAGTTAGCCCTTTATAAGAGCTGATGGGTGACTTCCTGCCAGTACCGAGTTTCTTTCCAAATCAGAGTTGCCAGAGAAACCAACATCAGTGGACCGGGTCTGAGCTTAGTGAGTTTTGGGGTATCAGCCATTATCCAGTAGCTGTGAAGCCTGGCTCCTAGATTCCAAGGAATCCTGAATCCAGGTTGTTGATCTGAAAGGCGTGATCTAAAGGTATGGTCTAAAAATACAGTGACTGTTTAAATTTTAAAAATTACAGTAGAGGGCACATTGCCACAAATGCCCTTCAGAATGCTGTCCTTCACTTTGAACTCATCGTTGTCATCATTCATGGCGCTCTCAGAAGTTCTGGAAGTCTTTTGTGTCTTTAGTTGTGCTGGTAAGGTTGCCTCAGTATCCCGCATCCATTCAAAGCGTTTACCTTTCAAGGTCATTTTGACTTAGGGGAAGAGGCAAATGTCACATAGTGCCAGCTGGTGATCAAGGTGAAAGAGGACACGCTGTAATGTTCTTGAAAGCCTGCCTTTCTGTTAGATGGCACTTGGCAGCAACATCCACCATATTTTTCATTATACATCGTAAAGACACTCACAAAAGAGGACTTCCAGAATTGCTTCAGAAAGTGGCAAGAATGTGGGATAAGTTTGTTCAAATGGAGGTGTGATTTGAAGAGGATTAATGGTAATGTATCTTTTACTGTAGTGAATTTAAATGTTTTAAGCCTTCACCGTGTATTCTGATCACCACTTGTACTTTGCAGAGTTGCATCAAGCTCAAGAGGCAGGTAGGCCTCTTTGGAGGTCACCAGTGGTAGTTGAGGAAGGAGTTACAGGGCTCGAGTGTGATGACTCCAGCCTGTCTGAGAACTGGTAGATGTTCTGGTCCCTGGAACTGCCTCCTCAGCTACCCCCTGGGACCAATGGGAGCTTTGCCAGAGTCCCAGGCCAGAGGAAGAAGCTCTGTGGCAGTTTCTGTATGGGGTGGGGTGACTTTGCTGACCTGTGAATAAGTGGAGAGAAATGAGCCTGGTGTGGGAGCGAGGCTGCTGCTGTCACCTGGGGCCAACAGGACTGCAGGCAGGCGTGGCCCTCCCAGAGTCTGCTGAAAACTCCAAATATAGCTTCAGCTTCTTTGTCTCTTTGGATTCCCTGACTCTTAGGGATCCAGCCCAACTCTGATGGCAGCAGCCACCCTCTTTGTAAATTCATTTCCTGCAGTGTAGGGCTTGATGCCGTTGCTTCAGGAGAAATGTAACAGCTCCTCAGCCTTGGCTGAGATGGGGGATAAAGGCAAAAAAGAGGACCTGGGGAGTGCATGCTTTCCCTCCATGAGCCTGTGTCCTGTGGGTGCCATTCCTACAGGGAACTCCTCATCCCTACGGAGACCATGTGAGACGTATTGGTTTCTCTCCAGGGTGGGATCATTGCTCTCTGTGTGAGCCCTGCCTCACGGTTCTCCACTCCTGAGCTGTGATCTCCCAAGCAGCCTGTTGTGTCACAGATGTGTCCTCCACGGAGGATCTGCTTGCTTTGGGGGCGGGGCATGGTGGGACACTTAGCGGTTTTTTTCCTAGCTGCCCTGGGTTTCTCCCAAGGGATTTTCCCAGTGGAAGCATCATACCCCAAATCCCAATCCTTTGTTTTAGCTGGATTTTATTTTTAATCAGGGCTTTTTTTCTGCTCTGAAAAAAGGAAGAAGCCATGAAAGACAAATCCAAGGAAAAGCACACCAGGAGGGTGCTGCCTGCTACTGCCCAGAGCCGTGCTCCTAGCGGCTGGCTCCTTGACATCCTCCCCACACAACCTCCCTGACTCCTGCTTGGGTCTCCAGCTCTGGTGGGTGAGGGTATCGGACTCCTCCTTGTGTTCCAACTCCTAGGAATGAGACAGAGGCTAAAGATCCTCCACCAAAGGAGGTTAAACCCAGACTCCACCCCCAACATGTCAGAGGCCTTGTCAGAGGCTCTATTGTCCCTCTTTGCCGGTGAACCACACTGGTCCATTTCTTCAACACTTGACTCTTGCTTCCTGTCGCTTGCCCCAGACCCAGATAGGATTTCCCAGGTTCTTTCCCAAGGCCCTGCTGAGAATTGTAAAATATGCAGAAAGACTATCTTTTTCAGAAACTCCACTAATAGAGTTGGGGAACTGGATTCAGAGTTTTGATCTTTGAACTATGTATAAGGTAAGTTTTCCTGCCCATAATCCCCACACACTGGGGAGGCAGGAGGATCCCAAGCTTGAGCAATTTAACAAGGTCCTGTCCTGGGGGGAAGGGCACTCTGGATGTAGCTCAAGCAGAGGCCTTGGGTTCAGTCCCCAGTAGTACCACCACTACCACCACCACCAGAAAAAAAAAAAAAAAAAAGCTTTTCCTAAGCAGACTATCACTACTGGCAAAACTCTGAAGAAAACATTTAATATTTGGTCCTTTGAAATTAGGCTCTTTCAAGACCAGTGCATTTCTGAGCATGACCTCCAGATGTTTTCCATTTACTCAGCTACTACCTTAGCGGAAGTTATGTATGAGGAAGAAGGGAGCTCTGCTGTAGAGTCTGTCTGCGTAGGCCATTTGATCTGACTGTAAGGACTCATAATTATTCTTTCCAAAAGAAGTCAGAAAATTAAGCCAGCATGACCTCCTC